CGAATTATCACGAGAGTATCTATAATCATATCTAGATTATAATAAAGCATTATAATTACTACTACTACATTAATTATTATTGTTTTTTGTAAAACATTCACGAGAGCGTCTATATTTATAAGACATTCCTTTGACGAACCTTCGTTACTCGAACATTTTCTTCCAGCTGGAACTTCCTGCTGAGCGTATAAGTGATTTTTGATATACCAGTTTTGTTAGTAAGATCGCGCAGCATCGCAATGTCGCTGCGATGGACCACAATAATTGCCACTAAGGATAGTGCCATAATAAGTACAGATATAATGGTCAGTCCCAATATATAGAATGTTGACAGACATGCTGAAATTCCCTAGAAGTGCATTTTTCACAAGTAATATGGAAACAGAAAGAAAAATAATGAAGGGCATGGCACTCAACGTTTTTTTTTCTATTTATCGCATGCGCCAGGCACATCTCAGACGAGTCTGGGGCCAATCACCAAACCCGTGAGCATATTCGCAGAAGCAGGAAATGTGCAAGGAATTATTCCATACACAATTTTTCCATGCATCGGCCAAATCTCAACCGAATGATTTTCATGGAGAGTCTCAAGCGCCAGCGCTCGTTGCTGTATTCTTTTCATTGCAATCACCGTCTCTTGGAATTTCCCTATCTGGCTTTCCTCGAGAGAGCTGGCGGGATCGGTCTCTGAAAGCTTATGATATTACGATGCAATCCTAATCCTAGTCGTGTATGAATGCTAGCTGATTTCGTTAACCCGCGTTCGAAGTCGCACCTGTGCCGGAAATCAATTGAAGCGTCATCGATGGAACAAAGTTATTAGCGCGTAGAGCTGTATTCACGAGGAAAGTCACAGGAGTGCTGGTTGTTGATACATAGAACGAAGAGTGAGCCGTGAATGTGAAAATGCGCCGTGCTCTGCGCAGCGGAACTGAGAACATCAAACAACCTCATACCCTGCGTTATTGAAATCACTGCTCAGGATGTTTTTATGTCTGCCTGAAGATAAAAGCACAAAGCATAAAGCATTTGCCGTTGATCAATCCTTTTTTTGATGCGGTACAAATTCTACTTCTATTTGCAAATTCGTAGTTCAAATTTTTAAAAGCATTTCTCACTTGATTACGAGATTTACCACCTATCTGTCCATTCCTAGCGCCTGGCAAGCGATTATCAGCTGGCAGCCATATGGGCGGCCATCGGCGTGAATGTGTTGAAGGCACGTAAAGAAGTTCGCGATCAAAAGGCAACACATCAGAATTAGGGAAGAGGTGCTCAGTGACGCCGGGATCAAGAAAAAGCCACGAAAAATGGTCTAGAACCTGAGAAGTTAGGCCATTTCCTTTCCCGTTGATTTCCGCATTGGTTCGACTTTCACCGATGCTCTTCAACCATCGCTCTCTGCTAAACGGCTAGAGGCCTGCGGCAAGTTATTAGAGTCGGTAGGCATCGCGCCGCCGGAAGGTCCATGCTAGATCAACAGAAGAATCCTTCGCTGCTTGCGCGTCGGTCAGCACCCTTAAGGGGCCGCCTGTCTTCCCACTAGCTAAGTTTCCTCATCTGCGACCTCCGACCTTGTCGTGGTGTCCCCCTCTAATCTAACCCATACATCGATTCCTCTTGAATTTTCGTTCTACATGTATCGTCCTTTGTAAAAGCTATAGGACCTCAAAGCGGTAGCTCCTCCCCTCCCTTTGAAGGGCGCTACAACACAGCGATTCTTTTTTTATTCAAACAACCAAGGGTGCGAGACTCACCGAGCATCATTAGCGCATAGTATGACGTGGCCAGTACTGCAGCGTTGATCAAGACAGCGATCCAAGGTCTCGGTAGCTTCTCATAATCGGAGATAAAACGTGATGCACACACTCTTTCAGTGATCATCGCTGGAATCATCGTCAGAAGTGAACACAGCAAGGCAAATCGTACCGCTACCGTCGCAAAAATCATTGGGTCGAACGTGTCTTCTAAAAGTGCCTAGATAAGAACCTGATGAGTTGACAAGGATGCCTATTTCGCAATCTTTGGCTGAATTATCCCGATAGCCTTATTTGCACGAATCCATGTCCTATTATGAAAGTGGTAAACGCCGGAAAGTTTGCCAAGTAGAGACTTAAAGGCAGCGATTACGACTATTTAAGAAAGGTTAGGAGTAGACGCAAGCGGTGCTCAAAGGTACGCCAGTGCCGAATAAAGGAGAGAAATTCTGTCGAGAAGTCGCAAAATGGACCCTCTTTTTTGTAGTGGTTTTCACTCATGAACAGGTAACAGCTCAGAAAGCGGACGTATGAACATGCTCACCGCAACGCTTTTGGTAACCCCATGCCTACCGACTCTCCAATCAAGTTGCTCAAGTCGTGCCGCT